AAATCCCTTTTAATTCGTGAAAATGAAAATTTTTCTTTTTGATTTTCTTTATCAGAAATTGAGCTAAACTTATTGAAAAAAAATTCAATTATTAACAAAAATAAATAAATAAATACATATATCTATATAAATATATAATAACAATGAATAAATAATTATTAAATTATTACTTCAATAATATTTAATCAATAAATTAATTACTATGTTAATAATATTAAAATGTAACAAAATAGAAATAAATAATAATTAACAAATGAACAATTAAAAAAAATAGTCAACAACTATTAATAAATTAACTTAGTGTATTATTTATAACAAAATATTAACAAAAAAAATTAATTCGATTAAATTGAAGTGAAATATTTATGAAAATTGAATTAAAAAATGTTGAAAACTTTATTGCTATTGAAAATATTGAAAGCAGTAAATCATTTATCGAAAATCGTAATTAATTAACAATTACGATTTCGCCTCTAAAATTTGCAATTTGAAACTAATTAGTGGTCTAGTGATTTTTTTTTTTGCTTCAATTATCGTATAACATTGGAGGAAGAGGGAAGAGTGATATAATTAGATTTGGCACAAAATGCTCTTAGTTTCAGCATAATTTTCGAAAAGTAAAAAATTTAATTTTTACAGTAAAATAATTAATTGAAAATAAAATATTCTTTCCTAAAAAATTCCTATTTTAAAAAACTTCCAAACAAATAAAGAATTAAACAATAATTTTTTCTTAGCAATTTCAATTGAAGAATAAATAAAAATAATTATTTGTTTTTAATAAAAAAAAAATATTTTTATTTATCGTAATTGCAAAAAAAAAATTATTAACAATTCCAATTAAAAATAATTATAAAATAATTAATTTCTTGTTTATTAACATTAAAAAAAATGAATTTCTAATTTATTATCAATTTGAATTAAAAAATAATAAATTTCAAAAAAAAATCCCCAGGTTGTCGATACGTAAAATTAAAAAAAATATTTTTGACTTGAATTATAAAAAAATTTTGAAAAAAAGAATGAGTATTTTTATTATTCATTTTTTTTTAATGCACAGTGTCAGATTAAGTAGTTCAGAAATTTAAAAATACAAGATTCATCCATTTAATGTACATATGACGATTAATTAGCGTAATTGTTGTTAATATTATTAAAAAAATAAAATACGTGTCTTAAATTACGATTTTTGATTGTTATCAGAAGAGTTAGAGAGTGGTTTACCGAATGCGGCAAGAATATTTAAACATTAGTTGGAGTCGAGAATTTTGGACAAACGATCGCTTTTGGCAACTCAAGTATTAACCGCAGCATCATTTCCGGTCCTATAAAAGGATTCGTTTAATCGATTATCTGACCAAAACTCGACTACAATGTGTACCACTTTTAATTAATGCTTACAAACTATATATTGGCGTGCTTTACTTTCTTGTCCTTATTTCTGCTTTTAACCTCGTTCGACTTAAAGAAAAAAAATTTTTTTTTTCATTAAAAAATATGAGAAATAATAGAATTTAATAATTTTTATAATTAAATTAATTATCAAATTATTTTAATTCAATTAAATTGACAATTTTTTTTATTTTCCTATTTTTGTCAGTAATTTTCAAAATTCTTTCTCTAAAGAACAAAAAAGAAATAAAAACTATAATTTTCATAATTAAATTAATTATCAAATTATAAATTAATTAAATTAACAATTTTTTTTTTATTTTCCCACTTTTATCAATAATTTTCAAAATAAAAATAGAACTTCTTTTTCTAAATAAGAAGAAGGAAATAAAAAAACATAGTTTTTATAGTAATAATTAAATTAATTAAATTAAATTGACAACTTTTTTTATTTTCACATTTTTCTGAATAATTTTCGAAAAAAATAGAAATTGTTTCTCTAAATAAGAAGATGGAAATAAAAAAAACATAATTTATAATTAAATTAGTTTTCAAATTATAAATTAAATTAAAATGACATTTTTTTTCATTTTTCTACTTTCAAAATAAAATATAAAAATAAAAAATTATTTTTTCATCCGAGTTTCTATTAACGAAAAAATAATTTACCGAAGAAAAAAATTCGAGAAACGTAATTTAAAAAATGAGAAATTAAAAAAAATTTGTGACAATATTGCTAACTGAGATAATAAAACTTTTTTTTAAATTAAAAATAGTAATCTTTTTATCAAATATTGAATATGAAAAATTATTATAATTATTTGCTGAATAACTACTAAGAAGATTTTTTTTTAAATTTTCTTAAACTCTTAAATTTTTATACTTTTTTGAAAAAAAAATTTGATGAGAAAAATAATAATAAGAGAAAATAAATTAATATTTTTTCAAAGGACAAATAATATTATTTTTTCATTCAAAGTCACGTGCATAATTTTTTTTTTCATAAATATATGAGGTAGGTATCAAAGCTTTGGCATTTCTCTGAACTTCTAATCTTAATCCGACACTGAGTAAATCTCCAAACATTACGTTGTATATAAATATAATAACGTAATGAAAATTGTACTTTTTTTCTTGTTTACACTGTTTTTCCTCTAAATGAGTTTATTCCCTCTTTTTTACTTTTTTTTTATTTTACTTGCAAACTAGCAACAATACTGCTCCCAATTTTCGTTGCTTTGTTATAAAGATTGCTTTTGTTTTCTTTTCAAGATTGCAATCGTTAATTTACAATTTAAATTATTAAATTAGTCATTACTAATTATTAATTTTTTAATTATCAATTAATTGACTAAATTAATGACTAATAAATTAACTTTAGTTCGTCAATTTTAGTTATTAATTTAATTAATAATTTAGTTACAATTTGGTTAACAATTTGGTTAACAATTTAGTTAACAATTTATTTAACAATTTAGTTAATAATTTAGTTAATAATCTATTTAATAATTTCGTTCATAATTAAATTAATTAATTATTAATAAACTAAATTAATTAATTAATTAATTAACTGTTAGTAAACTAAATTAATTAATTAATTAACAATTAGTTTAGACATTTATTAATTAGTAATAATTAACTAAAATATTAATTAGAATTCTAAATTGTCAATTAGTAATAATTAACTAATTGTTGATTATTCAATAATTAACTAATTGTCGATTAATTGATAATAACATTAATCTGTCGATATTAATTATCAGCAATTAATATACATTAATTAGTAACAAAAATTTAATAATTTTAATTAATTAATTTTTTTTACATTTCTAATAGAAGAGTTTAAAAAATTAATTCGCTTGTGAGATAAATTCTTAAACGGAAAAGTGTCTTTTACGCATTTTTTTTCGTTTTGCATTCTTCGAATGTCGATATTGTCGATGAAAGTGTTTCTTTATTTTAAACAGTACAATATATTGTAGTGTACTTTTTTTTCTCGTTTACGAATTTTATTTTCATTTTTCTTTTGTATTTAGTTCATCGATTTAAAAAATTACGACTCAATATTTGTAATAGTCTTTAAAATTTTTTTTTTACACACGCAAATAGTTTCTGATTCTCTGTACATTTTATATATTTTTTCAGCACTTTGGTAATAATTTTTTTTTGCTTGGAAAAAAATTGAAGAGTTTTATAATATTTTGGCGAATTTTAAGAGGAAAAGTTGACAAAATAAAGTCAAATGAGTATTATTCAATTCCCTTGGAATATTTCATTTGAAATTCTGTACAAAAGATTTTAATAATACATTTTCATTATAGATTTTATCGAATTCTCGTATTTCTGTAAATTGGTTAGATTTTAATTAAATGTGCTTTAATTAACTTTCCCCCCAAGTTCCAAGGGGGCCGATCGGCTCAAGATTGTCAATGATCGTTTTGTAAATAAAAAATTAGAAACAATTGTCTCTTGAGAAAAAATATTTTAAATATTTTGAAAATTGTTAAAATTCTCTTGTAATTTTAATTTTAGTTAATTTTTCTCATTTTTTCATTTTTAGATATATTTTTTTATTTTTAATTTTAAATATATTTCCATATCAACATTTTTTGTTTGCTTTTTTTTAAGAAACTGGACAGATTTTTATTTTCGGCATAGATTTTTTTGTAAATATTAAAAAAAGAATTCCCAAAATTGTTTATTTGTTTTTTTTTTCTTTCGAAATTCAACAACCTAGTAGAATATATGAAAATTGTTTATAAAGATTGTTTCTTAACAGTAAAGATTTAAATAGATTTGATTCAAGTTCCTTTTTTTACGAGGAATAAAGATTTCACTTTCGTCGGAAATCGAATTTCCTATTTTTTTTTTGTGTGTATTTACAGAAGGCAAAAATTGTCCTTATCGTTAAATTTGTGTGAATTCTTTTGAAAAAATATTACCGTCCGTTTATTTGAAATAGTTTTTTTGAAATAGACTAGAGAATTTGCCAGAAATTTTTTTTTCTTTCAAAGTATAAATTAATAACCAGAAAAAAAATGTGCATTTTTTTTTGTAAAGCTCTTTTAATCGGCTAGCTTTGGAGTTAGCCGAGAAAATTTGATTTTCTCACTTTGCCATTTCTCTCTGGCTTCGTAGTAATTTTTATTTTTCTTTTTTTTTTGCTTCGATGCTTTGTTTCATTTTTTTTCCGTAAGTTTCGAATCGAATGCATTTTTTTGTTTAAAAATTCTTGAGCAGTATTTTTTCTTTTGGATCAAATATTCGGAAAAATGAATAATTAAAAATTATTTTTTGAAAGAAATGAAATTAGAAAGAAAAGTGGAATTTTGGAAATAGAAAGAATTTTGCAAAAATTGAAAGATGAAATTACTTGGATTTTTGTTTCTCTTGTGATTTCACGTGGCACGTTAGCGGCGTTGATTTGAAGAGATTGATTCAGCAAAACAAATCTTTTTCCGATTGATTCCAGCAATGAGCAGTGAGTAGGAAGTAAATTTGTTGGTCGTGATTTGTTGTACAAATTGGAGATGAAATAGCTGACGTGATATACGGCAGTAAAGTGTAACAGGGTGGCGATGGTGAAGTTGAAGACGAGAAAGACCATGTCGATGAATCGTTACCATTGATTGTTGAATTAATCGTGGGCATTATTTTTTCTTCTTCTTCTTTTTCTGAAGGTATGATTTTAGGCGGAGATCAAAGTTCAGAGTCGAACATCGTCAACGATCGTGTAATCACATCGTCCTGAAAAAAGCAAAAATTAAATTATTTATTTATTTGTGTATAAAAATAAAATTAAAATAAAAAAAAGAGATTAAAGAAAACAAAAATTAAAATTAAACAAATTAGAATTATAAACAAAATTAAAAACAAAGAAGTAAAATAAAATAATTAAAACAAATAAGAAATAATTTTAAATTTAAATTAGAATAAAGTAAAAACGTAAAAGTAAAAAATAAAACAAAAACCGCCCCAAATTAATTTAATAATAATAATTTAATTAATAAAATAATTGAAATAAATAAAAAAATCAAATAAATTCTTCAATAATAAATGAAAATTCAATTGAAAAGTCATAAAAATAAGACAATTTGAAAAAAATATGACACAATAAAAATAAAAGAGAAAGAAAATAAAATAATTAAAAGAAATAAAAAATCAATTAATTCGTTCAATTATGACACAAAAAAAAATAAAAGAGAAACAAAATAAATGGAATAAATAAAAAAACCTCCAATTAATTCTTTCAATAATAACTGAAAATTCATTTAACAATTAAAAACTAGAAATTTTCGGAAAAGGTGATAAAATAAAAATGAAAAAAAAAAATAATAAAAAGAAATAAAAAAATCAAAAAAGTATAATTTTCAAGAAAAACATGACAAAATTAAAATAAAAAAGAAATAAAATAATGAAAATAAATAGAAAAACTTCAATTAATTCTTTCGATAATAAATCCTGAATATTGAATATTCATTTGAAAAGTGAAAAAAAAAAATTTTCAAAAAATATTACGAAATAAAATTAAAAAGGAAGTAAAATGATTAAAATAAATAAAAAAGGCAAATAATTCCTTCAATAATAAATTAAAATTCATTTTAAAAGTCAAGAAAATAAGAAATATTCAAAAAATATGACGAAATAAAGTTAAAAAGGAAGTAAAATAAATAAATAATTAAAATAGATAAAAGAATCAAATAATTGCTTCAGTAATACCTAAATGAAAATTCATTTCAAAAGTCAAGAAAATAAGAAATATTAAAAAAATATGAGGAAATAAAATTAAAAAAGAAGCAAAATAAATAAAAAAAAATCAAATAATTTCTTCAATTATAAATGAAAATTCATTTGAAAATTAAAAACTAGAAATTTTCAAAAAATATGCCAAAATAAAAATGAAAGAAAATAATAAAAACAAAAAAAAAAAAACAATAAATTCCTTCAATAATAAATGAAAATTCATTTGAAAAGTCAAAAAAAAGAAATATTTAACAAATATAACAAAATGAAAATAAATGACAAGTAAAATAATTCAAATAAATAAAAAACTTTAATTAATTCTTTCAAAAGTAAATGAAAATTCATTTGAAAAGTGAGGAAAAAGAAATTTTTAAAAAATTAGACAAAATAAAAATAATAAAGAAATAAGTAAAAATTATTTACATAATTTTAAAAAAACTCTAATTAATTCTTTCAATAATAACTGAAAATTCATTTGAAAAGTAAAAATGAAAAATTTTCATGAAATGTGACATAACAAAAAAGAAAGAAAATAGAAAAATTAGAATAAAATAAAAAAAACAATTAATTCCTTCCACAATAAATAAAATATTCAATTGAAGTGTCAAAAATATTAATTTTACATAAATATAAAAAATAAAAAATACTCCAATTAATTCTTGCAATAATAAATAAAAATTCTTTTGTCAAGTCAAAAAAAAAAAAAATATTCAATTTATTCAAAAAAAATTTGTGTATTCAAGAAATAAAAAATGAATAAATAAATAAAAAATAAGAAAATTTTATTCCAGTTTCACAAAAGAAAATTCAATTATTAATTTTCTTGATTAAAACTCGTAATTTAAATTTCCTTCTATTTTATTCATTATATTTTTATATAGTTTTGAATTCCGATATTAAAAAATTATTTTATTTAAAAACTTTTATATAGCTTTAAGGGCACTTGAACCATTATGACGTTACGGCTTTAGAATAAATGCTTTGCACAAACTATGACGTCATAATGGTTCAAATGCCCTTAAAATTCTTGTATTTTTAAATTTTTATTTTTAAATTCTTCTATTTTTAAATTTTCATATTTTTAATTTCTTTTATTTTTAAATTCTTCTATTATTAAATTTTCTTATTTTTAATTTCTTTTATTTTTCAATTTTTATATCTTTAATTTTTTTATTTAAAAATTTTTTTTTTTTAAAATTCATTTATTTTCAAAAAAAATTTTTTTTTATTCTTTCTTCATGCGATAAATTATTATTTTTGTTTTTTTTTAATCATACTTTGAGGCAGCTTTCAATAAATTCCTCGATGGTTATAATTCCGTCTTGGTTTAGGTCCAACTTCCGGAAAACTCGATCCAATTGATCCCTCGCTCTTTTTTCATCTTCGGCAAGTTGATGATGTCTTCTGCCCATTAATTCGTGAATTGCATTCACTAATTCACCGAGTTCACTCCTCGTTATACAACCATCTCCATTGATATCGTACAATTTAAAAGTCCATCTTAATTTCTCATAAACACTTCCTCTCAGAAGTGTCGAAAGTGTTACTAGAAGGTCCTAAAAAAAATTTCAACACAACACATTAATAAATCAAATTTAATTTAATTAATTAATTAATTAATTAATAATCAGTAAATTACATATTAACAAAATAATTAATTAATGAATAAGTAGTTAATTAATAATTACAAAATAATTAATTAGTGAATAATAAATAATTAATTAATGAATAAGTAGTTAATTAATAATTACACAAAAATTGATTAGTGAATAATTAATAATTAATTAATTAATAAGTAGTTAATTAATAATTACAAAATAATTAATTAGTGAATAATTAATAATTAATTAATGAATAAGTAGTTAATTAATAATTACAAAATAATTAATTAATGAATGTAAAATAAAATTCTTATTAAATTATTTATTTAGTTCCTAAATAATCGAAAAACAAAAATTAATATTGTTATTAAAATTTAGATATATTTTTATAATTTTTTTTTGTGAAAGAAAAAAATTTCAAATGAGAAAAAAATGTGAGAAACATTTGCGAAAAAAATTTTTTGATTAAAAAGAATCTGCTTTTTTTCATTATTCTAAAAAGGAAAAAAAATCTCTTATTATATTCTTACATAGAAAGAAAAGAGGAAGCTGAATAAGTGAACTCTGTTTTACGTTCTTTTGAGCATCGTTTTAATTTCCATTTAAGAATAAGAAGAAGAAGAAGAAGATTCTTTTGAAATTCTGCTGACAAGCTAAAAATATCCACTTCTTTTTTTTAAAGTTTTCATCTTGAAAGATGTTTTAACTTTTAAATTATCAACTTTTTTGTGTATTGTACTTAAGACTATATACAAAAAAAAGTTGCTTTATGTGCACAAAAATCAATTGCAAAAAGTATTTGCAAATAAATAGAAAGTCTTCCAAGACAATAAAATTTTTATTACTTTTTATAATTAAAATATCGATCTAGAAAACATTTATTTAGAGCAAATATTGTAGTCGCGGATATAATGGAAAAAAAACCATTTGAATTGAATTTCATTATTTGTGTTCGACAGTTTGTGAATATAAATATATTTTTTTTTATTTATTTCTTCAACTGGAAATAAATGAATCAGTTCCAATATTGTTCGTATTTTAGCTAATCAAAAAAGGCCTGTCTATTTTTTTTTAAAGCGATAACCGCACTAGTCTATCAGTTTATTAAATTAATTTTTGTATTTTCAATTATCGGTGCATCACTTTTATATATATGTATTTTTGGTAATTGATTATTTTTTCAATAGTGAAAAAATAATATACTGAAAATATTTTTCATTATTGAAAAAATAAAATACTTTTCAATTTAAAAAAAAAAAATTAAATTAATTAATATAAATAAAAATTAATTTTTAATTAATTTTTTTTTTTTTTTTAATTTTTTTTTTTAAATTAATTAATTAATTATTTTTTTAAAATACTGAAAAATACTTTTCAATAATGAAAAGTATTTTTAATTATTAATTTTCATTTATTTTTAAGTACAATCAATTGCAATTCTTTATAAAAATTTGTTCATATGTACTTTAAATAAATAAAAAATTAAAAATAACTAGCGCAAAATTTTAATTTTCAAAAATTTCATAATTGAAACTTTTCTGAAATTTAACAACTTATAAGAATATTTTATTATAAAATATAAAAAAATCGATTACTCCGAGTCTTCGACTCGAAGTGATCGTTTTCTTCATGTTTTATGATAATTAAAGTTGAAGTCAATTTTTATTAAAAAATCCTTCAATTATTTAAATAAAAAAATTAATAATTTATTGAATAATTGAGCCTCCCAATTCAAGAACTCGCCCGACGCTCGGATGAACACTCTAACGCCAGTCAAACGTTAAGAAAAGTTACAAAAATTAAAATTTGAAATTTTGATTTTTCAGAAGCACTACCTTGTAGGAAATTGAATAGCGCATCTTTTTTTCCTTTGAATTTTTTTCGTAGGATGAATATTGTCGGAAATAATGACGAAAAATGGTAAAATTTTGTTTTTCAAATTTCATTGCTTTTTAAAACATAAATCATCGTATTTTCGACAATTATTGTCGAATTGACTTCAAATTTGGTATGCAAGTCTATTTGGGTTCTGGGAAAACGATAAAATGATCAGAATGTAAAAATTTCCTAATTGTTCACTAATTTGTTAATGTAAATAAAGGCTTGTCAATTTTAGGTTAACTTACCTTCGTCGACAAAAAGTCTGCGGTGAACTTTCGAATTGAAAAAACTTCCAGTGAGACATTTGTTTATTAGTATATAAGGAAGTTTTTTGTAAAATATTAGATTGATTTAGTAAAAAATGTGGAAAATATTAAGGTTTAAAGACAGCGCGGAGAGCGCGACATCGAGTCGCGGCGTGCAAATATCACTAAACACCAACTTTATAGGACTCAGTTGTTGAATTTGTTCTTATTACCTCGGTTATTACTCAGTACTTATAAAAAAGCATTAAATAAATTATTGGGATATAATTATAACGCTATGTTTAACATTATCACAAACATAAAAATTCTATAAATAATAAAGAACTAGCAACAATTCGCGCGGCTAACTTTTTACTACATTTTATAAATAAAATTAGCAATTTTAAAAATAATAGATTATTATTATTATTATTATTATTATTAATTATTATTATTATTATTAATTAATTATTAATATTAATTATTATAATTAATTATTAATAATAATTATTAAAGAAACTCCATTAGTTTAAAAAAAAATTCAAAGAAATTCTTCAAAAGAATTTAATTAGGATTTTTTAAAATTTTTATAAAATTCTTTGCGAGAATTCCGTTATTTTCCTAAATAAAAAAATTCTTTGAAGGTATTCTTATTATTTTCTAGAATTTTAAATTGTTTTTTATAAAAATAATTGAATTGCTTAAAAAAAATTTATTATTTATAACAATAATAATTGAATTCCTGTGAAATTTGTATTATTTCTAAAAATAATCAAATGTTTATATGCAATTTTATTAAAAATTTTTTTAAATAATTGAATTTTTTGGGAAATTTTATAAAAAATAGTAGATATTGAAAATAATTGAAATTAGAAAAATTTTTGAAAATAATTGAAATTAGGACAAGAATTTCTCTGACATTTAGGAAAATAATTAAACTTTGGAAAAGAATTTTGTTATTTATAAAGGTAATCGGGATTTTTACAAAATTTTTTTTTCAAATTTTGTACATAGTTGAATTTTATAAGAAGAATTTTATTATTTTTTTTTTTTGAAAATAGTTGAATTTCTGCAATTATTTGTAATTTCTCCAAAATTGAATTTTTTTAGTGTTTTCAACAAAAATTTAAATTAGAAAGTTTTCAAATTCTATTATTTTTAAAATTGCTAATTTTATTTATAAAATGTAGTAAAAAGTTAGCCGCGCGAATTGTTGCTAGTTCTTTATTATTTATAGAATTTTTATGTTTGTTATAATGTTAAACATAGCGTTATAATTATATCCCAATAATTTATTTAATGCTTTTTTATAAGTACTGAGTAATAACCGAGGTAATAAGAACAAATTCAACAACTGAGTCCTATAAAGTTGGTGTTTAGTGATATTTGCACGCCGCGACTCGATGTCGCGCTCTCCGCGCTGTCTTTAAACCTTAATATTTTCCACATTTTTTACTAAATCAATCTAATATTTTACAAAAAACTTCCTTATATACTAATAAACAAATGTCTCACTGGAAGTTTTTTCAATTCGAAAGTTCACCGCAGACTTTTTGTCGACGAAGGTAAGTTAACCTAAAATTGACAAGCCTTTATTTACATTAACAAATTAGTGAACAATTAGGAAATTTTTACATTCTGATCATTTTATCGTTTTCCCAGAACCCAAATAGACTTGCATACCAAATTTGAAGTCAATTCGACAATAATTGTCGAAGATACGATGATTTATGTTTTAAAAAGCAATGAAATTTGAAAAACAAAATTTTACCATTTTTCGTCATTATTTCCGACAATATTCATCCTACGAAAAAAATTCAAAGGAAAAAAAGATGCGCTATTCAATTTCCTACAAGGTAGTGCTTCTGAAAAATCAAAATTTCAAATTTTAATTTTTGTAACTTTTCTTAACGTTTGACTGGCGTTAGAGTGTTCATCCGAGCGTCGGGCGAGTTCTTGAATTGGGAGGCTCAATTGAATGTTTATTAAAATTTAAATCTCGTAAAGAAATTTATAACAACAAATTTTTAAATAATTAAATTCTCTCGACTAATTTTAATGAAATTTTAAAGATTAATTACATTTTTCGAGAAATTCAATATTAAAATTGTATTAAAAATAATTGCAATTCTGCAATAAGTTTTATTATTTATGAAAATAATTGAATTTCTTTAAAAAATTTTATTATTTATGAAAATAATTTAATTGTTTCGAATAAATTAAAAAAATTTTTTTTTTAAAATTGAATTCTTGTGAAATATTCGCTACTTATGAAAATAATTGAATTTTTTAAGAAGAATTTTATTAACGTTTTTTTAAATAATTGAATTTTTTTGGAAAATTTTATTAAAACAGTAGATAATCATTGAATTCAGGGAAATTTTTTAAAACAATTTAAATTTTGTCAAGAATTTTTTGAAATTTTTGAAAATAATTGAATTCTGAAAAAGAATTTTATTATTTTTGAAAATAATTATTGATTCTCTTTAAAAATATTTATTATTTATGAAAAACGTTAAATTGTTGCGAATAAATTAATAAAAAAAATTGTAAATAATTGAATTTCTGTAAAATTTTTATCAGTTATGAAAATAATTAAATGTTCGCGTAGAATTTTATAAAATTTTCCTTTTAAATAATTCAATTCTTTTGGAAAATTTTATTAAAATAGATATTAAAAATAATTGAATTGAGGGAAATTTTTTAACATAATTGAATTCCTAAAAAGATTTTTATTATTTTTCAAAAAAAAAATTTAATCTCTATAAAAAATTTTATTATTTATGAAAATAATTGAATTCTTGCGAATAAACTTATTAAACATTCTTTTAAATAATTAAATTCTTTTTTAAAATTTTATTAAAATAGATGTTAAAAATCATTTAATTTGGGAAATTTTCGAAAATAATTGAAATTTTCCAAGAAGTTTTTTAAAAGTTTTGAAAACAATTGAATTTCCGAGAAGAATTTTATTATTAATAAAGATAATTGAAATTTTGACAATTTTAAAAAAAATTTTGAACATAATTCAATTTCAAAAAATAATTTTCTTATTTTTCAAAATAATTGAATCTCTGTAAAAAATTCTATTATTTATGAAAATACTGGAATTAATGCGTAAATTTTTTTTTTAAATTTGTAAATAATTGAATTCTTGGGAAATTTTTATTCTTTATGAAAATAATTAATTGTTTGAGTAGGATTTTATCAAATTTTTTTTTTTAATAATTCAATTCTTTTGGAAAATTGTATTAAAACAGTAGATATTGAAAATCATTTAATTGAGGGGAAATTTTTTTAAAATAATTGAAATTTTGCCAGGAATTTTAGTAAAATTTGTAAAAATAATTGAATTTCGGAGAAGAATTTTATAATTAATAAAGATAATTGAAATTTTGCCGAGAATTTTTTGAAATTTTTAAACACAATTGAATTTCTAAAAAGAATTCTATTATTTTTCAGAATAAATGAATCTCTGTAAAAAATTTTTTTTAAAATAATTCAATTCTTTTCGAAAATCATATTAAAAAAATAGATATTGAAAAGCACTGAATTGAGGGAAATTTTTGAAAATAATTGAAATTTTGCCAAGAATTTTATTAAAATTTTGATTTTTTTTTTTCGTTTTCTAATTCAAAAAACGAGAAAAAAAATTTTTTTTCAAGGAAAGTTGTAATTACTTGATTGAGCACACTGAAATAGGAATGTACTTTTAGGTAAATGAAAATATTCGAATGAATATAGTTACCCTAAAACTGATGGCGCCATTGCAGTTTACGTCAAAAGCTTTGAACACGTAATGGGCGTAGAAGCTGGAGTCTGAAAATCCAGACCATTAACTAATTACGAAAGGAAAAAAAAACAAAAATAAAAAACACACTTCTTACATAATAATGATCAACTTACTTCCATGTGGAAAAAACTTGGCATAGATGTCCTTAAACGAATCCTCATGAACCACTCCTTCTGGGCACTCCTGTAAAATAAAGAAAAAAATATATTTAAAACAAAAAAATTCAATTCTTAACACGAATACTATATATATAAATTCTCTTTGTCTTTATTTAAATATTATTTAATTATAATTACTAATTATATTAATTAGTTTATGTATAATTATTATTATTTATTATTACACTGAAAAAAAATTTGTTTGAATCAAATAATTTTTGTAATTCTAAATGTAATTCAATTAAATGGTATTTGCTTGAAATAGTGAAATTATTGATTCAAATAAAATTTATTTGATTCAAGTAAATATTTATTTTGACAAGTAATCGGTTATTTGAATCAAATAAATTTTTTTTTCAGTCTATTAATTATCTATTCATTATTAATAATTATTAATTCACTTAAATTATTAATAACAAATAAATGTAATTAATTTCTATATATAAAAAATAGAAAAGGAAATTTATGACAAATTTTAATTTTAAAACAGTTTCTTTTAAACATTTACCGTATTATAATTTATAATATGAAAATATATACTAAGAGAAAAGTACTTTTTCTTTGAGAAAGTTATTATTTTCTTTTTATTACAGAGACGAACACGTTTGCATCACAAATAAATAGAAAAGAAAAGTCACCATCTGGAAATGTCATAAAAAAATTGCTTACAGAGAATAAATATATACTTTCGTTCTTAACATTATTTTTTTTAAATAGGTCACAAAAATTCATTAAATATAAAAATAGCACAGATTTTAAAACTTTCAAGGAGAAATAAAAGTAACGACTATAAAAAAATGCGAATTCCACACACAATACCAAAAACAACTTTCGAAGCCTACAGGTACTGTATAGGTATTAATATTTTTTCAAAAAAAATTATTTTCAAAAATCAATTATTTCTAAAAATTTACGCTTTATTGCTTTTAATATTTAATTATTATCTAAAGTTTTAACTGAAATTCATTTTTAAATAATTTTTTAATTAGAAAATTTTACGAGAAGTCAATTATTTAAATAGAAAAAAAAATAATTTATTTAACAATTGAATGTTTCTTAAAATTGAATTCTGATGGAGAATTTTATTAATAAATTTTTAAATAATTGAATTCTTTCGACGAATTTTAATAAAAGTTTACATATTAATTACATTTTTCGAGGAATTCGATTAAAATTGTATTAAAAATAATTGAAATTCTGCGATGAGTTTTATTATTTGTGAAAATAATTGAATCCCAAAGAAGAATTTTATTATTTTTGAACATAATTAAATTTCTACGAAGAATTTTATTATACTTTTAAAAATAATTGAATTTCAGCAATAATTTGTAATTTTTCCAAAATTAAATGTTTTTTAGTCTTTTTCATTTAAATTCTTCTATAAATCCATTATTTTTCGTAATTTTTTAAAAAGTTTTTTTTTTTAAAGTTTCAAATTCATTTGTTTACAATTGAGGCCTTGGATCCAATAACTCGCCCGACGCTCGAAGGCACGCGCTAATACCAGTCGGGTAGCAGTGAGTGGCCCAGAGGCGCTCACTGCTCACTGACTGGCAGTTGCGCGTTCCTCCGAGCGTCGGGCGAGTTATTGGATCCAAGGCCTCAATTCTATTTTACAAAATTTCAATTATTCGTAAATTCTTCTAATTAATATAATATTAGAAAATGAAAACTTAAAAAAAAATACTTTCAAATAAAATTGAAATAAACTTTTTCAAATATTCAATTATAATCTAAAATTTTGAAGTGAATTTCATTTTTAATTCAATTTTTATTAGAAAATTCTACTGGAATTCAATTATTTAAATTAAAAAATAAATAATTTATTTAATAATTTAATATTTCTCAAAAGTAAATGCTCATAAAGAATTTTATCAACAAATTTTTAAATAATTGAATTTTATCGACGAATTTTAATAAAATTTTTAAGAATAATTACACTTTTCGAGGAATTCGATTAAAATTGAATTCAAAATAATTAAAATTCTGCGATGAATTTTATTATTTATGAAAATAATTGAATTCCTAAAAAGCATTTTATTATTTACGAAAATAATTGAATTCCTGTAAAAATTTTATTATTTACAAAAATAATTGAATTACTTAGAAGAAATTTATAAAAAATTTGTAAATTATTGATTTCCTGTGAAATTTTTATTATTTATGAAAATAATTAAATGTTTGCCAAGAATTTTATGAAAAACTTTTTTTAAATAATTGAATTCTCTTGGAAAATTTTATTAAACTAGTAGATATTGAAAATCATTAAAATGAGAAAATTTTTTGAAAATAGTTCAAATTTTGCAAATTTTTAAAATTAAACATTTTCTAAATTCAATCATTTTTAAAAGTTTATCCTAAAATGCTCCTAATATTTAATTAAAATTAATTTTTAAATCAATTTTTATTGAAAAATTCTACTAGAATTCAATTATTTAAAATAATAAAAAAATAAATAATTTATTAATTGAATGTTTCTTAAAATTTAAGGCTCGTAAAGAATTTTGTCAAATAAATTTTTAAATAAGTGAATTCCTTTGACGAATTTTAATAAATGTTTTTAGAATAATTACATTTTTCGAGAAATTTGATTAAAATTTTAATAAAAATAATTGAAATTCTGCGAAAAGTGTTATTATTTGTAATTAATTATTTACGACAAAATAAATTGATATTTAAAATCTCGTCTTAAGAAATAGTACCATTAGTACTTTTTTTTAACGAAAAGATATATTATATTATAAATTTATAATTATATTAAAATTTACAAAAAATAGCGAACTGTAACAAAAAGTGTAGAAAAATACTCAAGTGAAATTTCTTTATGTATTAATTCTTTTTTTTCAAACATTTTAAATAATTAAAGAAAAGATGAATATAATTAATTTTCTTTGTCACTTTTTTTTGCAACAAGAAAAAAGTAAGAATGTAAGAAATTTCCTTTGAGCTTGAATTCAGAGGAAATTCCAGGTGAAAAGGAGAATATTTCGCAGTAACAAAAAGGGCTTTTTATATAGGATCAACATGAAATCCTTTATCTCTCTCTCTCTTTCTCTCTCTCCCTTTTCTCTTATGAATATATTGTTATATGAATCTAGATGTTCATCAGAGACAATTTCACTGCCTCGTGAGGAAAATAGGACACTTAGAGGAGAAAATGAATTTTGGAATGAGAACATTGTACCTGAATTGAAGGTTCTTTCGTTAAAAGTAATTGTTCAAGAGTGGGAGAAAAATTCAATTTTACAGAATCTTCCGACTTCCGAGGATCGAGATCATTTACTCGAATTACTTCCCACTAATCTACCAATTAAATTAATTATCAAGGAGATACCATACGAATACTATTGGGAACGTGCCTCTAAAGCTAGGTATTAAGAGGCAATTTTTTTTTCTATTTCCACCAAGTGTACAGTAAAGAAAAAAAAAAATCAAAAAAAAATCTCGAATTTAAACATTTCGAACAATACTCATCCTGGCTTTCAATTTCAATTTAAAAGAAAATCATTTTCAGTTCGAAAATAAAATTCATATACTCAATAATAATGATATTGATAAAAATAACAAAATAGTTAGAAGTAATAGTAAATTTAAGAAAAGAAAGCTGTCAAATTATAACTCTCCAGAGTTGCCACAGGTCAGGGAAATCAGGGAAAAATCAGGGATGGTACTGGAAAAAATTAAATTTTTAGAATTCATAAGAAAATTCTGAATTTTTTAAAACTATTTTGTTTGCCTCATAAATTAGTCATAAACTATAAAATTAAAACGAATTCTAATAATTAAAACCTTCAATCTTTTCAACTTCTGACAATAATTTCTTTTTCAATAACTTAATTAAATTAAATTAAATTAAAATTCTTCTCCAAAATTCGATGATTTTCAATATCTGCTATTTTAATAAAATTTTCCAAAAGAATACAATTATTTAATAAAAAAAATTCAATAAAGTTCTACGCAAAAATTTAATTATATTAAGCGATATTAATATTGATAGTAATTATTTTAACTAAATAAATTCCACTAAAGAATTTTAATATATAAAAATAATAAATAATTAAATAATGATTCGAAATAATTAAAATGATTTCAATAAATGATCCTAAAGTTTTGAACGTTCAAATGAACGAAATTTTTTTATTTCTTCTTCAAATTCAATTTTTATTACAATACTTTTGTGTCAATATCCAAAAAATTAATTTTTAAAGTTTTTACACGTAGAATCTGAGTTTTAAATTTTTATTCAAATCAATAATTTATGAAAATATTTTTAATACAAAATATTTCGTTCATTTCAACGTTCAAAACTTGTGGATCATTTCAATAATGAAAATAAAATGAAATAAATTTCTTTGTAAGAATTCAATTATTTTCACAAACAATAAAATTTTTTACTCGAATTCAATTATTATTTAAAGAAAACGTTAATAAAATTCTTCACCAAAATTCAATTATTTTCATAAGTAATAAATATTTTACTGCTATTCAATTTATTGGCAAATTTTTCTATAAATTTATTCGCAATAAATCAAATATTTTCATAAATAATAAGATTTTTTGCATTGATTCAATTATTTTCATAAATAATAAAATTCTTTTTAGGAATTTAAATATTTCTATAAATAATAAAATTCATCACAGAATTTTAATTATTTTTAATACAATTTTACTCGAATTTCTCAAAAAATCTAATTATTCTTAAAATTTTTATTAAAATTCGTCGAAAGAATTTAATTATTTAGAAATTTGTTGATAAAATTATTTATGAGAATTCAATTTTGAGAAATATTCAATTATTCAATTAATTATTTATTTTTGTATTTAAATAATTAAATTCTCGAAGAATTTTCCAATAAAAATTGATTTAAAAATTAATTTCAGTTAAACTTTTAGATAATAATTGAATATTAAAAGCATTCTAACGTGACTTTTCAAAAATAATTAAATTTTGAAAAGGTTTCAAATTAAAATTTTTGAAAATCTGAATTATTTGTACTTTTAACTAACAATTCTGTAGACTTAATTTTTTTTTTTTTTTTGAAAAGTTTAATTGAACTTTTTTTTTAAATTCTACCAAATTTTTAATTTCTAATATCACTGTAAAAAGAAAGGTACTAATTTAGTACTTAATCGTCATTTGGTTCTATTTTAATACCGAAAATCAGCTCTAATTCAGAACCTTTTATTTACAGTGATACAATTGAAGAATTTCCGCATAATCGATGAAATTTCATAAAATTGAATTGTAAACAAATCGATTTGAAAATTCTCAAAGAACTTTTTCAAAAATTATTAAAAATAATTAATAATTGATTTCTTTTGAAGAATTTTAATAAAATTTTTCAAAATAATGACATTTTTTGAGGAATTTATTTAAAATTGAAATAAAAATAAAATAAATTCTGTGAAGAATTTAATTATTTGTGAAAAAGAAGCGAATTCTTGCAAAAAATTTTCCAAAAATTTTTGAAAATTATATTTTTCGAAAAATTAATTCAAACTTGTATTAATAATAATAATTGAAGTCCTGCGAAAAATTTTATTATTAATAAAAATAATTGAATTCTTACAATGAATATTATTACATTTTTTTAAATAATTTAATTTATGTGAAAAATTTTATTACTTGTAAATATAATAATTGAATTTTTGCGAAGGATTTTGTTAGAATTTTTGTAAATGAATATTTAATTTTATTTGAAAAATTTTATGGAAATTTAAATTATAAAACAGGAAGAAATCGATTATTCCGATTCGAAGACTCGGAGTTGATCGATTTCTTCCTGTTTTATAATTTAAATATTTTTATAAGTTTTTGAATTTCAAAAAGTTTAAATTTGAATCTTTTGAAGAATTTTAATTCCTGTTGATAAATAATAATTCTAAAATATTTATTTAAAAAAGAAGTTATTGATGTTTTCGAAAAATTTTGTAATTAAAGAAAATATAATAGAACATTTTTTTGACTATCTAATAATTTTTAGAATGAATCATAATATTCTTTAAAGTCAGAGAAAAAATAAAAATTTTTTTCTGGAAATCAGTGAAAAATAAAAAATAAATTTTTGTGACAACTCTGCTCTCGAACTGGAATATTTCAAATTGAAATAAATTACATTATTCTAAATTCATCAAAAAAATTTTGTACATTAAAAAAAAATAGTAGCAAAATACTCTTTAAATTTGAATTAGTAAAAATTGTTTACTAATTAGTGACTGACTTTTTGCTTTTGAATTAGTAAATTTTACTATAAAATTAGTAGAAAGAACTATTTATTAGTAGAATTTACTAATTCTAAAGCAAAAAGTCAGTCACTAATTCAAATTGGTAAAGATTTTTACAAATTCAAATTTAGATATATTTAAAAAAAAACTTTGCAAGTGGAATCGAATAAATCACCAAAAATCACTTTATAGCGAAACCGAAAAGTTGAAAGAAAAAAGAAAAAAAGTAATTTTTTACAAAAAAAAATGTTAAAAGCTTCCTCTGTACAAGTATATATTTTATTTGATTTATACCAGAGAAGGTTAAAGTTTGATAAGGCTTTTAATATTCTGCATGTTAATGTGTAAATGCATGAATACAGTCTCTCTCTCTCCTTGCCTAAAATATTGAGTAAATTAACCGAAGCCGTTGTGTTGGAATGTATACGTATAGATATAAGCCTGGTAACTCCGTTACAGTCAGTAAACTGGTCGCTAAATTTATCATAAGGTGGTTTAAACAGCTTTTACCCCATAAATGTAGACAATATTGAACATGCTAATGTTGCTTCTCTATATATATGTAATTATAACCCAGTACTATCCTTTATAATATTCCCTGTTGGAAAATTATTTCAATCCCAAATGCTCCTGAAAACCTCAGCTTTTAATTTCGGTTCGGTGTTTAATTAAAAGAAAAATGAAAGTAAAGTATACACTAAAAAATTCAAAAAGTTCACTTTTCGAATCCAGTAATTAATATAGTAATTAATGATATTAGCAACTGACTTCTCACTCACTTTTTTAAATAAAATTAGCAATTTTAAAAATAGAATGTAAAAATTTTTAATTCAAATTTTTTTTTATAAAAAAAAAAGAAATGGAATATACAATTTTAATATTATTACAATTATAATATAATCATATATATTCTGATATTGGGAATTCAGGAAAAATCGAAAAAAGTCAGGAATGTTTATTAAAAGTACTGAAAAAATTAAATTATTAGAACTCATAGGAAAATTCTGAATTTTTGTGTCTTTTTTGTTTGACTCATAAACTATAAAATTACCACGAATTCTAATAAAAAAACCTATTTTTTCAATTCATAATAAAAATTTCTCTTTAAATAACTTAAATCTTGAACAACTATCATAAAATAAATAAATTATTTAATGAATAATTTTACATAAATATTTCAAAATTAATTCAATTTTAAAAGAGTTGCGTTTACAATTTTCATAAATAAATAAACTTCAGACAGTTTCAATTTGAAATTTTAGAAAATTTCAATGTTGAATGAATTTAATTAGAAATTTTAATGAACTTAGATTTTTGAAAAACTTTAATAATTCAAAGTCTTCTAAAATTAGTTACATTTGTCAATATGTATTTAATTAATTATTAAAAATAATTGATTTATAGAAGAATTTAAATTAAAAACACTAAAAAAAATTGAATTTTGAAGAAGTTACAAATAATTGCAGAAATTCAATTATTTTCAAAAGAAATAAAATGCTTATCATTAAATTCAGTTATGTTCAAAATTTACAAAAAAATCTTGACAAAATCCCAATTATTATCTTTATAAATATAAAAATTCTTCAAAATTCAATTATTTTCAAAAATAAAATGCATTTTTCTAATTTCAATGATTTTCAATATATCTACTATTTTAATAAAATTACCCAAAAGAATTCAATTATTTAAAAACAATTTTATTAAAATTGTACGCAAACATTTAATTATTTTCATAAATAATAAAAATTTTCAAAGAATTCCATTATTTACAAATTTTTTTACAAATTTTTTTATAAATTTCTTTTAAATAATTCAATTATTACTTCCTCATAGATAAAGGATTTTTATAAATAATAAAATTTTTACAGGGATTCAACTATTATCGTAAATAAAATTCTTTTTCCGAATTCAATTATTTTCATAAATAATAAAACTCATCGCAAGAATTTTAATTATTTTTAATTCAATTTTAATCAAATTCCTTGCAAAGTGTAATTATTTTTAAAACTTTTATCAAAATTCGTCGAAAGAATTCAATTATTTAAAAATTTCTTGATAACATTTTTTATAAGAATTAAATTTTAAGAAACATTCAATTATTCAATAAATTATTTATTTTTATTATTTTTTTATTTTAAATTTCCCGGGAATCTAATTATTTTAGTAAATAATAAAATTCTTTTTAGAGATTCAATTGTGTTCAAAAATTTCAAAAAATTCTCGTCAAAATTTTAATTATCTTTATTAATTATAAAAATCTTCTCTAAAATTTAATTATTTTCAAAAATTTGAATAAAACTCTTAGCAAACATTCAATTATTTTCATAAATATTAAAAATTTCACAGAAATTCAATTATTTTCATTTTTTTTTTTTTTGTAAATTTATTCGAAACTATTCAATTATTTTCATGAATAATAAAATTTTTTAAAGGGATTCAATTATTTTTATAAATAATAAAACTCATCACATAATTTCAATTATTTTTAATGCAATTGTAATAGAATTTTGTGAAAAATCTAATTATTCATAAAAATTTGTTGATCAAATTCGTCGAAAGAATTTAATTATTTAAAAATTTGTTGATAAAATTCAATTTTAAGAAACATTCAATTATTCAATAAATTATTTATCTTTGTATTTAAATAATTGAATTCCAGTAGAATTTTCTAAAAAAAATTGATTTAAAAATGAATTTCACTTAAAATTTTAGATTATAATTGAATATTTGAAAAAGTTTATTTAAATTGTATTTGAAATTAATAATTATTTTTGTAAAGTTTTTATTTTTTAATATATATTTATTTGAAGAATTTCCGAATAATTCAAATTTTGTAAAATTGAATTGTAAACAAACGAATTTAAATTCAATGATTTTCAAGAGTATAATAAAATTCTTCGTAGAAATTGAATTATGTTAAAAAATAATAAAATTCTTCTTAGGGATTCAATTATTTTCACAAATAATAAAAACTCATCGCAAAATTTCAATTATTTTTATTAAAATTTTCATCAAATTTTTCGAAAAATGTAATTATTCTAAAAAAATTTATTAAAACTCGTCAAAAGAATTCAATTATTCAAACATTTATTAATAAAATTCTTTTTAAGAATTAAATTTTAAGAAACATTCAATTATTCAATAAATAATTTACTTTTCTATTTAAATAATTGAATTTTCGTAGAATTTTGGAAATTTTATATGCGATTGATAAAAATTTATTTAACAGAGTTGCGACAAAAACTTTATTTTGTTTTTCCCTGAATTCCCTGACCTGTGGCAACCCTGATTAAAGAAAGACATTTAGAAAAAGAGAAGCAAAAAAAGAGAGAGAGAATATTTGCAGTAAAAAAAAGTTGAATCAATAATATGTATAATGAAATAAAAATCTCAGATGGGAATTCAATAATCTTGTTGAACATGGAAATTCATGGCGTCAACTTTATTGCGAACGACATTTTGCGGAATATTTGGAATCACTGGATATCACCTATTTTGATGTTGAGCAAGAAGCCTGCGAGGAAGTCATACAACTTCTACGCGATTTCATTTATACTATTAAAATACATTGTCTTGTGGCCACAGAGTAAATAATCTGGTTTTTCACACAACACTACATTCAATATTATTCATATGCATATTTTTTTTCAAGTATATAAACTGAAAATTTATTACCTACACTGTATGAAAAATTTAATTCAGATAACCGATTACTTGAGTATTATCAATTATTAAATATTTAATTGGATGAAATAATATTTATTAGAGTCAGAGTACTTTTTTCGAAATACTGAAGTTATAGATTCAAATACAATTTAATTGACTCCAATAAATATTATTTGATCCAAGTAAATATTTAATTGATAATAGTCAAATAATCGGTTATATTTGAATCAAATAAATTTTTTTCAGTGTATTGTTATTGCTGTACAATTACGTGCTATTTATATTGAAATTGCACACTATAATAGAAAACTGATTTCAGATATCCTTTAAAATTATCAGAGAAGGAAAATGATGATGAATCGCGTACTGAAACAGAATTTCCGGTTCAACATATTCCAATGAATATGATTCTTCCCCGACTGTCAAATCTCAGGGAGCTTGTTATTAATTTTGGAATGATTTACTTTAACGATGGTTTCGAATGGAAGGATTTTCAGTAAGAACATAATTGAATTTCTGCGAAGAATTTTATTACTTTTTGAAAATTATTGAATTTCTGCAATCATTTGTTATTTTGTTTAAAATTCTCCAAATTATATCGTACAATTTACGAACGTTTCGTCCTCTTTTCAATCAAATTACGGATTTTTATGGACTTGAAGCAAATTTACGAACCTTTATGGGATTTACGGACCTAGTTCGAGCCCTATATAAGTACCTATTTTAATTATTTTAATGCTCTTAATGATATTATTAGATTTTCAGTTGAGGATTGCCGGAACTTGGGTCGTGGAATCAAAGACTGTTTCTCTTTGAAGAAATTTTCCCTGACAAAGAGTAATTTGGACCAACCTCGTGTTGCAGCATTACTTCAAGAAATGACCGTGAATAATAGCGTGAGTTTAGATTTCAGATGAAGACAATAATATATAAGGCACACACACACACAGACACACAAAGTTGGGTTGGAGTTTACTTTGATGAAATAAGATACAGAAATCAATAGAGTCAGTTATAGCGGATGCTTGTTTGCCCTCAAGTCACGAAATCACGACATGCCATGTCTATTAATAAATATGTATATATAATTGCAAATGAGCACGTGAACACATGAGTAAAGACATTATCATCAAGTTCTTTGAATGTATTTCCTGTTCTCATTAAGTAGCAATTTTATAATGACAAATCATTTTGACACGATTTAGGTAAATTGGATTCTTTATTCTTTTTTTGTACGTGAAGGTTAATATTCAAGACGGAATAACGAACGAAAAATTAAAAGAAATTTACCTTTTTTGATTTGGGTAGGAATTTTTCGAATTCAAAATTGTTACGATTCTTCAGGATCGACATGATTATCAAAAATACTTTCAATTCCGATAGGAACTTTCGAAACAGAAAATCAATTCCGTCAATATGTTTTGGTTCTAAAAATTGGAATCAAAACAATAATCGAAAAACACTTTTGTTTCGGATACAGATTTTCGAAACTATCTCGAAATTGTTTCGCAACATCAGCATCAAAATAATTATCAAAATATACTTTCATTTAGGACATAAATTTGAGAAATTAATCCGAAATTAATTTTCTCGATTCATCAGCATCGAAGTGACTATCAAAAATACTTTTATTATCGATAGGAATTTTTGAAACATAATGTTTTGATTCTAAAATTAGGATCAAAACAATAATCGAAAAATACTGTTGCTTTGTAATAGAAAGGTCAGAATAAATTCCTAAAAATAATCGAAACCTAATAAAATATAAAAATAAAGACTGGACTTACATGAAGGTTTTCAAATACAGAAATAGAGACAAGTTTCTTTTTTGTTTGATAAATTCTATAATTCATATCTTTTTCCTAATGACTCAAGTCGAAATGTATTGCATAATTTATAAAGGCAGCATTTACAAATAATTGAAGATCTTTTACGAATATTTTTGCTCTAAATATGTAAACAAGAAGAATTTGATGATTCCTAAAAATAATCTACAAAACCGATCTTCATTATGCTCCTAATTTTAGATTTCTAATTCCAGCTGCTTATTGATAAAACCTACGAGCTTAATTTTCTGAATCGAAATTCTACTTTTAGGCACTATAAAATTATCCTAAATTTAGAATGACTCCAACCAAATTATCCTGCAGATAATTTCGATTTTATTGTCCAAAAGTAACCGTTCTATGATCCAAAAGTAATAAATGATTTTTGATTTAATGATCCAAAGCTAATCGCCAAGGATTTTCTGATTAATTCTAAATTCTGATTTTTGCTTTTATGATCCAAAAGTAATCGTAAATTTTGATTTTTGATTGTGTGCAAAGCATTTTTGGTTTTGAATTTTTAAGGATGTAAATTTCTGTTAAGGATATCTAAATGTTAATCAAAGTGTAAAATAGAAAAATATTTTTTTATATTCAGGTGGAGGAAATAGATTTTTCACATTGTAAATTGGAAGACAATGGTGCACAGGCCATTGGTCTTTTTCTAACAATGCACAAGCATCTCAAAGTTTTACACTTGGCGAACAATAAAATTGGTCCTGTGGGTGTAGCAGGCATTGTGTATGGCTTACTTGAAGAACATTCAGTGCCTCTGAAGCATCTGAATTTGCGTCTAAATCCCCTACAGAATGAAGGAGGAATGCACATTTGTTCCAGTAGGTACATTTTCCATAACTGAAAGTACTGTCACTCAAATATTCTTTTTTTCCACTCTTGATAATGTCTCCTTTTCTCTTTTATTTCTCTCTTCATAATTTCTCTTTTAAAGCAAACAATTTTTTAATTCAACTTTCGTCTCCAAATTATAGACAAAAAAAATTAAATCTAATTCAAAATTTGTCTCCAATTGCGGATACAAAATTTGTGTATCTGATTCAAAATCTTTTTCCAATTACGGATTCCAAAAGTTAATCTAATTCAGAATTTGTCTACAACTATGGATTCCAAAATGTTAATCTAATTCGACATTTGTCTCCAAATTACGGATTCTAAACTCTAATTCGAAATTCATTTCTGCAATTATACAAATGTGAATCTTACCTCCGCAATTATGAATAAAAATTCTCTTGTTATAAATTCTTTGAGGTAAGAATAAGTGAACTGAAAATAACAAACGATTGTAATACGAGAAAAGGAGACAATAAAAGGAGAAAAATTTTTTCATAAAACCGCAAAGAGACCACAGGATCTCGGGTGGTTTAAAGTTGGAAACAACTGCGGCTCACAGGAGGTGCGACTATTTTCCTCAACTTAAATTTAACATGACTTGGGCTCGGAGAAGATAACGATTTTCCACCTTATATGTATATATAGTTGCTAGTTGGGATCTTAATTATTACTCGAGTCTTGTTACAAATGCTCGAACCACACATTTATTCTAAAAATACCCCAAAAGAACTAAAAATCTAAATTTCAAATTATACCGAACGGAAGCATTAATTATCGTTAGCCATAAAACAAAATTTTAAAGAGCAATTCTTTTATGCTATTTTTGATTGTATCAGGAACAACAAAATAGAGGATAACTTTTAACAATGGTTATTGGTTGATGATAGCAGTATCAATACCATTTCTAAAAGCATATCTCGCAATAATTTATAAGAATCGAATTCTCGACAATTGAGTCGATACAATGTATATCCAAAAATATTTCTCTATAAAAGAAAAATTGCATCAAAGCGAGTGGTAAAGTTGAAACGTCATGTTCTGTTAAAAGACATTGACATAAATTAATGTCTATCATGTCCTGACATTAGCTAACTAGAGTTTGCATAGTTTTACTCAAGCACGCTCGTCTGGAAGTATTGAATATTAGTGGCTGTGGACTTGGCCCAGAAACGGGTATCGGAATGGCGGAAGTCATTGCTTCAGGGCACATGAAATGCTCCAGCTTGGAACTTGATGTGTCGAATAATGACTTTGGACCCATTGGTAAGAAGTTATGCTGCTGTTTTCAAATAACTCTCATACCTATCTATTTATTAGCTATACGTTAGATTTTATATCTGTAAATATATTAACGGAGATAATATCTGCAAAAATTATCAGATGTATGCCTTTCGCAAACTTTTAATCACTATCTTTAATTTATCAAAGAGATGAATTTCAATAAATTTTTTCCTTAAATATCATTATTAATTTTCTTCGCCTGTCCGTGGGCGATAAATCTTTTTTTGCAATCAGATACCGTTAAAGTTTTAAACGACTTTTCGTAACTTTGATTCAATGCAAATGTAATGCAATGTAATTGTAATGCAATGGTATTATATGATGAATTTGGAATTTGCAATTAGAATTAGAATTAGAAGTAGAAGTAGAATTAGAAGTTGGACCTTATTTTTGGAATTTAAAGATAAATTTTTGTGGCCTTTGGTCTTTTAGAGGTCTACGATTTCCACTATATTAGAATTAGAAATAGAATTATTAATTAACTAAGAATTTTATTTGATTAAAGCTGGCGTACGATTCGACGAGAGCCTGAAAATTTGTCCCCTTATTGTTGCGTTCGATTCACGTTTGTGCAACTTTAACTATGAAACATTGTTTTCGATCAGCCAGACAGTTTTCAGGTGAGAAAGAATTGTTTATACTTTACTTCTAGCAAATAATAGTTTACCTAACAAAAAATCAAGAATACTTTTCTTTGGATACAAATTTGAATCTGTTTCGATTCATCAGCATCAAAACAATTATTAAAAATGCTTTTGTTTCGGAGACGAAATTTCGGAAACGAATCCAAATCTATTTCGATTCATCAGCATCAAAGTAATTATCAAAAATACACTTTGATTTTGGATGGAAATTTTTAAAACTAATTCCGAAATTGTCTCGGTGCTTCAGAAGCAAAAACAATAATAAAAAATACTTTCTTTTCTAAAAAAATAATGTTTCTTAAAGAAGCAGAATTTCTCAATTCACTATTATTGTCAAAAAGTTTCGACTAGATGGAGAAAAATTTTCTCAATCTCTTCTTATTGATGACAAACAAGCACTTTTTAGAAAAATTCACCATCAGCAGAACATGTTTTCGCTGAACTTTTCCCGAATAATCCATTATGAATAGTGCAATACAATCGTATTAAAAAGATAAAAAAGAAAAGCAAAAAAAGCAAAGAAAAAATAACGAAACAGAAAAAAAAGAAAAATATAAAAGATAACAACGATGAAGTAAACTTTTCTCTTTTAAAAAAAAGTAGACGGCAAATTGTAAGTACAGAATTCAATTTTTTTTCCGTAGGAGGACAAAAGTTGAATAATGATTGGCACACCCTGAAAGTGTAAAGTATGCTTTATCTGCACACGTAGAATTTGGTTTAAAAAACTATGACAATGCTTTGGATTCGAGCCAGATTTAAAATTCATTGGTTTCTCTTTCTCTCTCTCTCTCTCTCTTTTCCTCGGTTATATGAATCAAGAGTCGATGACCTGCATTCTGCATATAGGAGAACATGAAAATAATGGTCTTGAATAATCATTGATTTTTGCTCCTTTCAACTATTAATTAGCATTTCAATCGAATTTCCCAAAGCATAATGATGTTATTAGAAATTAAATGCTCCTAATGTTTCGATATCAGTTTTCCAATTGTATAATATTACTAATGTTCCCAATTCCCTAATGAGCATCAATTTTATTTATTCGTTTTTAATTTGTATTTTATCCAAAAAAAAGTATTTCGTACATTAAAAAAATTAATTCACTAAGCAAATTAATTTATATTATTTCCCCTTAGGGTGTAATAATTTTTTTGAAAAATGTTTTAAATAAGAAAAATTCCATTCATTCCGTACAAAACTTTAGGGAAAAATTAATAATTTTTAAAATTATTAATTTTTGTAAATAAATATTCAACTAACAAGAATTATTTACAATTTATTGTTACGTTTTCGATTATAAAATGAATAATACAAAAATCGTTCATTTTAGCAATAAAACGTCACAATTTTATATCATTACCAAGATCTGTTCGCTTCATTTCGTTTGTGAGAGGATTTTCATGCCTTCTAGGCGGCAATTTTGTGAACTAGATTGGCGCGAAATTCAAAAAAAGAAAAGTTTAATTAACAGTATATTAATATTAATTATTATTTTTATTATTAAATTATAAAAAACTATTTATTATTATGAATTTTTCGTTATTTTCTGTACATTAAAAATAACTATTTCCCCCCTGGGGTTTTTTTCTTCAATATATTTAAAAAAAACTAATTTTCGAAATTCGCTATGCAGTTAAATACAGTTTTTATTCTCAGTCATTAAAAAACTTTTATTTACTATATAAAAGTATAAATCTCAAATTGAACTTTATCGATTTTGAAATACACCCACCGAAACAGATACACAGAAATATAATGAGAAACTTATTTTTATTGGTGTGCGTATTTTTCAAGTATACGTGAAATCACACATAATTCTTTTGGAAAAACTTTTCTCTTCTATATTTTTCACCCTCCTACATACATTGGTATATATAATAACTCTCGAATTCTACGGATTATACTTTCACATAAAGTTTCTTTACCCCGCAAAAATTTGATATACAGTCAATTTTTCATTTACGTATGACTGATTTCTGAAAAATTTTTCTCATAAAAAAATATGAGAAATCATGTTTTGAGAGCTGCGGAATATTTTATAAAAGAAAATACCGCACGGTCATTTTTTGTTATTTAAAAAATTTTTTTAATGATTTTTAAATTAATTGCTATTTATTTAAATTTGTTTTCCGTTTGTAAAAATCGTTTCATTTTTAAATTATTTTGTAATTTTTTAATACACGAAGCAATATTATTGCAGAATTTAAATTTGAAAAATAAATGAATTTCATTTAGAAGCTAAAATTCAAAATTTGTGAGTGCATAATAAAATACAGCTGAGTAGAGAAATTAAAAAAATAAATAAATTTCCAAATATGTGCACGGAGAATATTTTCACGCGTGTGCAGTTTGTGTCCACTTTTATAACACAGAATGCCTTTCAGTGCAGAGAGAAAAATAAATTTGTACATGTGCGAGAAAAGAATTTGGACTACAGCCCACTAGCCACTATATACTTGAATTGCCCTTCACGTATTTGCCAGGAGAAACATTTTCATTTTTCTCCTTTTCTTCCTTACTTAATTTTTCAACAATTTTTTTTTCTCAATCTTTCTCTACTTCTTCTTTTCCAAGAATTCTCTCACTTTTGAAAATTCACTTTGTACCTAAGGTGTAAAGTTGATTTTCCAACGTGTGTCGAGAGAAAAAGAAAGAGAGAGAAAGAGCAATAAAATAAATGCGAAATAAAATATTGTTTTTTCATTTTTGAAATAAAAAAAATATCTACTCATACTTCTATCTATCACGCAGAAAAAATTTATTTTTTAATAGAAAATAAAAATAATTTTAGATAAAAAAAGGAACATAATGATTATATAATTACAATTATTACTATTATTAATAATATTTTGTTTATTTTAATATTTGGAAGAATATTTACTCCTCGAAATATTAAAATCAAAATATAATCAAGAAGTTTAAATTGTTGACGAAATAAGAATTATAATTCATCCGGTTTAGTGTTAATTACAGGGCAAATTACGTAAAGTCCTTAATTTGATTGAGAAAAAGACGAAAAGTTCGTAAATTGTACGTTATAATTTGGAGAATTTTAGAGAAATTACAAATGATTGCAGAAATTCAATTATTTTCAAAAGTAATAAAATTCTTTGCAGAAATTCAATTATGTTCAAAAATTTAGAAAAATTCTCGTCAAAATTTCAATTATTTTTAGAAATAATAAAATTCTTCTCCCAAATTCAATTATTTTCAAAAATTGTAATATAATACTTGGCAAACATTGAATTATTTTCATAAAATAATAAAAATTTCACAGAAATTCAATTATTTACAAATTTCCTATAAATTTCTTCGCAATAATTCAATTATTTTCATAAATAATAAAATTCTTCTACGAAATTCAATTATTTTCAAAAACTTTAATAAAATTCTTGGCAAACATTTAATTATTTTCATAAAATAATAAAAATTTCACAGGAATTCAATTATTTACAAATTTTCTATAAATTTTTTCGCAATAATTAAATTATTTTCATAAACAATAAAATTTTTACAGAAATTCAATTATTTTTGTAAATAATAAAATGCTTCTTAGAAATTCAATTATTTTCATAAATAATAAAACTCATTGCAGAATTTCAATTATTTTTAATATAAAATTTTAATCAAATTCCTCGAAAAACGTAATTATTTTTAAAAATTTTATTAAAATTCGGCAAAAGAATTTAATTATTTAAAAATTTGTTGATAAAATTATTTATGAGATTTGAATTTTAATAAATATTCAATTATTCAATAAATTATTTTTTTGCATTACAATTTAGTGTAGAAATTTAATTATGTTCAAAAATAAATGAAATTCTTCTTAGGGATTCAATTATTTTCAAAAATAATAAATCTTTTCACAGAATTTCAATTATTTTTAAAACAATTTTTAACAAATTTCTTGAAAAATGTAATTATTTTTAAAAATTTTGTTAAAATTCATCGATAGAATTCACTTCTTTAAAAATTTATTTGATAAAATTCTTTACAAGCATTTAATTTTGAGAAACATTTAATTAATAAATTATTTATTTTTATATTTAAGTATTTGAATTCTAGTAGAATTTTTAAATTGATTTAAAAATGAATTTTAGTTAAAATTTTACATAATAATTGAATATTAAGAGCATTTTAGGATAGATTTTTAGAAATAATTGAATTTAGAAAAGGTTTAATTTTAAAAATTGACAAAATTTTAACTATTTTTAAAAATTTTCCACAATTCAATGATTTTCAATATCTACTATTTTAATAAAATTTTCTAAAAGAATTCAATTATTTAAAAACAATTGATTATTTTCATAAATATTAAAAATTTCACAGGATTTCAATTATTTACAAATTTTTTTAATAAATTTCTTCGCAATAATTCAATTATTTTCATGAATAATAACATTTTTACAGGGATTCAATTATTATCGCAAATAATTAAAAGCTCATCGCAGAATTTCAATTATTTTTAATATAATTTTAATCGAATTTCTCGTAAAATCTAATTGTTCTTAAAATGTTTATTAAAAATTGTCGAAAGAATTTAATTATTTAAAAATTTTTTGATAAAATTCTTTATGAGAATTGAATTTTAAGAAACATTCAATTATTCGATAAATTATTTATTTTTGTATTTAAATAATTGAATTATATACTAAATAAATTAAATTCTTGTACAATTTTCTAATAAAAATTGATTTTCATTTTATAAAAATGAATTTCAGTTAAAATTTTAGATATTAATTGAATATTAAAAGCAATATAGCGTGAATTTTTATAGAAATAATTGAATTTTGAAATTAATTTTTTTGAAAAAGTTTAATTGAATTTTTTTAATATTATTTGAAGTTTTTATTTTCTAATGGATATTTAATTGAAGAATTTACGAATAATTTAAATTAGTAAAATATTGAATATTGTAAACAAATGGATTTGAAAATTGTCAAAGAACTTTTTCGAAAATTAATTGCTTTAAAGAAGAATTTTAGTTAAAAATTCTTAAAAATAATAATTGAATTGAAATGATGAAAATAATTTTGAAGAAGTTACAGTAATAAATATTTTTATAATATAAAATAATAATTTTATCACTGGGCCATTTTTAATTATTATAAAACATGAAGAAATCGATCACTTCGAGTCGAAGACTCGGAGTGTTCGATATCTTCATGTTTTTTAGTTATGACAAAATTTAATTTTTGGTTTTAAGTAAAACGTTTTTTTATTTGACTCGGACTGGTTAATTTTTTGTCAGAAATTGGTCCGTAAATGGTCCGTAATTTTTCATTTTTGGTCCTTTACGGACCAATAATTTCCGTTTTTTTAAATACTTTCACTGGTTCGTGCCCTGTAATTAAAAAATTTCCCATTTTACATAATTTTGAATTGAGAAATAAAAAAAAAATCTGAACCTAATAATATCTTAAAGAAGAGAAAATAATCAGTCTCTAACTTGACAATATAAAAAATTAAAATTAACACTATGAGATTTTTATTTGCATGGTTAGTATATGTAATTTTTCATTTTACATAATTTTGAATTGAGAAATAAAAAAAAAACTGAGAAGCACAATTGAAAAAAGCTTCCAAGTGAGACAAAAAAAAAAAGAGAGTTGAAAGCTATCGTTTTATATAAATGAAGAAAACAATGATGCTTTTGATATATAAAATGTTTGTAGGTCGCTCGCTTATCAGGCACTGTATATATATATTATGTTTTTCCCTGAATACGCTTTGCAAATTTATTTTCACTTGTCCCTATACTCTCTACTAAATATAAAGACTCTTCTTCTCGTCTACTTTTATGCCCAACAAATAATTTCCTTTTTCTTTTTCTCTCGCAGAAATAAGACTCAAAAGGGAAAACATGAGGGAAAAATGTTTTTATCAACTGCTGCAAGTAGCATTGGAAGTATATCGTCATTAATTTTAAAGGCAAAGAATTTATTGCCGTCAAAATATTATCATACAAGAGCGGAATCATCCTCAGGCAATGAAGATAAAAATGAAGAAGATGAAGATTATGAGGAAGATGAAGAAGCTGATGGAGATAATGGGGAAAGTGAAGATGGTAAAAATGATGAGAAAAATGAAGATGATGATAAAAATAATGAGAAACATGGAGATGATAAAATTGGTGATAAAAATGGTGGTAAGAATGATGATAAAAATAATTATAAAAATTATGAGGAAAATGAAGAAGATGAAGACGAAAATGAAGGAGATGAAGATAAATATGAAAATGAAGCTTATGATAGCGATTTTCAAAAATCGAGTGTAAAAAGCATATTATCCTAATTTTTCCACAATAAAAATTAAATTAATAATATTTCGTTGCAAAAACTAATTTCATTTCTAAACTTTTTTTTAATTTTCGATTTTGATGCAATAATAATAAAATAATTTTGTTATTTGGTTACGGATTTTTTTATTCCATTAATTGTTGCAACAAAAATAAAATTGATTTTTATTTATTAAATTAGAAAGACTAATTTAATTTCCTAATTATTTACAGTTTTTTTTTATACAATAATTTTTGCAGAAAAAATAAAAAGTTTAGTTTGAAAAACTAATTTGATTACCTAAATATTTATAAAGAAATAAAAGCAACTTCACAGTTTTTCATTTATACAAACTTAATTTTAATTTAATTAGAACTCACCGCTTTATTGTTTAGAACTTATTTCCTCTAATTTAACTTCGAGTATACTAAAAAAAAGAGAAAAAGAAAAAAGATTCGAGTTGACTGCGAGCGAACTATTTAAACTTTTAATTGCTTGTCCAAACTGAAATTGGCATAATAGAATGACCTAATTAATAAAAGGGGAAAGAAATTCCCAAGTTTTTTTCCCCTTCTTCTTTTTTTGAATACATAATATAAAAGGTGTGGAACACGAATTAAGTTATCAATTTTTATCGTTCACTTGACATTAAATTACATTCGCATCCATAATGCATTAGATTTTTTTTCCCCGGGTGTATAATTTTAAGTTTAAACCAACTTTCATTAGCAGATATTGTATAATTTGTATTAGGTTTTTTTTTAATTTTATTTTATTCCCTTTATATTTTACTTTTTTCTTATTTTAAATAATTGCAACTAGAATTTGTTTGTTTTTTTGTTTTTTTTTTAATAAATTGTTTTTTTATGGGTGTTTAATATCAAGTTTGGGGTGATAATTACTTTTCTGTTTTTGAAAAGGGGAATAAGGGGACGATTTAAGGAATACATTAGTAAACATATTTAAATATTATAATACTTTTTCAATCAAGGATACATGTATAATATATAAATATATACACAATTTATAGTAAAAATAAATCGTATCGGTTTGGTGCCTTTAGAAAAGTATATGTATTCCCCTGTGGCATTTCCTGCAATCCAATAAATCACGATAAATTCGATATAAACTGCCTCTTGTTATATAATGCGCAATTTCTCAATAGACGTTGCCGAGGACATGGGCAGTTGCAGTAACGCTTTTCAAGAATGGCGACAAGCTGACTACGAATGAAAATCACTTAAAATCGATAATGGAAAAAAGGCCATTAACACACTGTGTGATAAAAAAACAAAAAGAAAATAAAAAAAAAAAATTCCCACAAAAAAGAACCATAATTGCCTAAGAAAAACATATTTTTATAGACATAAAGTCATTTTCCCAAAAAAGCATATTTTAACCGAAAAAAACAAATTTCTCACAAAAAGAATTTTTTTCGACAAAAAGAATTAAAGACAAATAAATAATTCAGAGAGAAATAAATTAATTGACTGCTGAATAAAAAATAAATAAACCAAAATATTGAATAAGAAACAAATAAAACAAATAAGCGTTAAATAAAAAATAAATAAAACAATTGCCAGTTTAATAAAAAAAAATAAAAATGAATAGCAAAAAAAAAAATGAATAAAAAATAAATAAAAGCAATTAACCGTTGAATAAAAAATACAATTAGCTATTCTATAAAAAATTAATAAACAAAATTGATGGTAAAAAAATTGAAAAAAAAAAATTAAAAAATGTACTAAAAAATAAGTCAAAGCAATTAACTGTTCAATAAAAAATAAATAAACAAAATTAATATAAAAAAAATTGCATAAAAAAATAAATAGAAACTAATAGAAAGAGCATTGAATAAAAAATAAATAAAGCATTCAAACAATTACGTCTAAATAAATAAATGAAAATAAGAGAAAAAATTTAATAAAAAAAAAATAACAAAAAATTTGCAGCGAAAAATTAAATAAAAAGTAAATAAAAAAACCGTTGAATAAAAAGAAATAAAACAATTACGCGTTTAATAATAAAGTAATAAACAAAATTAATAGCAAAAAAATTGAATAACAAAAAATAATATTTAAAAAAAAATTAAATAAAATAACCGTTGAGTAAAAAATATGTAAGGCAATTACGCGTTTACTAAAAAATAAATAAATAAATAAACAAAATTAATATCAAAAAAAGTTTAATACAAAAAAAATAACAAAAATAAATAAAACAACCGTTGAATAAAATAAAAATAAAACAATTACGTGTTTAATAATAAATAAATAAACGAAATTAATATAAAAAAAAGTTTAATAAAAAAAAATAACAAAAATAAATAAAATAATCGTTGAATAAAACAAATATAAAACAATTACGCGTTTAATAATAAATAAACAATATTATAATAACAAGAAAATAAAATAAAAAAAATTTTAATAAAAAATAAATAAAGCAATTAACTCTCTAAAAAAAAAAATTTTTTTTATTTCCCTTCTAATTAAAGAAGCGATATTTGGCAAATTGCAAAAAATTGTTTCTCATTCTTTTTTTCCTGTCACAGGTGTCGTAAAAATAAAAAAGGCTCCTAAATAATTTTACTATATCACTTCGACTATTATTTCTGATTTCATATCATGGCTTTTTTTGTGTAAAATATTGTAAAAATGCAACGAAATGCATCAGTTTAAAGTGCTTCTGAATTTTACGAATGCACTTTAAAGGCGAAGTATATAAGATTTAATACCGCTCATGTCCGAATAAACCAGCGATAAAAGTATGAAATTTTTATAAACAGACCATATAAAAGATATTGAATTTTTGTTACATAAAACTCAAAATTTCATGGTCACAAAAATATTGTTCAAAAAAGAAATATTAAACATGACATTATTTTTTTATTATTTGCATATTCTGCTTGGTAATAATTTGCATATTGAATGAATCAATTTAATTAATTATTAATTTTCCAAAAAGGGTTGAAAAATATTACAAAATTAATTATATAATATTTTTTTTTGTAATAAACGACAAGAAATGTTAATTGACTTTGAACAAAAATCGACTACAAGCAATAATAATAAATTCTAATAAATTAAATGAATAATTAATAATGATTAATAATGAATAATAAATTATTAATAATTAATTATTAATAATTAATTATTAATAAATTATTGTCATTTTGGTCAGTTAATCTAACGAGCCAGTGGTATGTTATATACTGATTTCTACTTCATCTCGCTTTCGAGAGAGTTTTCATGCCATCTAGGCGGGAATTCCCAAAATTAGAATGGCGCGAAATTCAAATTTCATAAAATCAAGAAAATGAAAAAAGTACAAAAATAATTGTACGGTGAATATTTCTCCAAATATTTGAATTCGAGAATCTGATTTAAATATAAAATACACTAATTTATCAAAAGGAAAGCATCCACTAAATAGAAATCATAAAAATTTTTATTGTTTCGCAGATTTAAAGTGAATTAATTTTGAAAATAATTATTAAAATAGCTGAATTAAAAAAAAAGTCAATTTTATTAGTAATAAAAATAATTATTTATAAATAGCTAATTGAAAGCAATTATTAAAATAACTAATTTAACAATAAAATAATTAATGACAAATTAAAAACAATTATTTATAGCCAAATAACAAATATAACAATTATATAACAATTAGTTATTAATTATAAAATAATAAAATTATTTATTAATAATAATGTATTAATAATTACTAACACATAGCTAATTATTAACAATAAAATAATTATTTACCCAACTAAATTAATAAATTCTTAAAAGTGAACACAATTGAGCGACAAAAATTGTTAATAATAAAAAGTTTATTAATTTTTTCATTCATTTCTAAAAAGATAAGCTTTTTTATTGCTTTTAATTTAATATATCGTTTTATTCGGGAAATTTCATTTTCCATTGAAATATTAAATACAATTGATTTTATGTCACGATTTTAATATAATCCTTTATAAGCTCCACTGCATTCTAAATTTACTTATTGAATAGTACACCATTCAATAAATACTTCTTTTTTGCAAAGATTTTTTGTTTTAACAAAATTAATTGGAATTTTTCCTTTTTAGTTTAAATATATTACGTAAATCTCTTTTTTTTGCAGTATAATTTAATATTGGCGGAAATTTTTTCGCAACCACTTTCTACATAGTTGATTCATTTTCGTTTTTTATTGATTATGTATTATTTATTATGTAGATATTTATTATTATAATAAATTCATATAATTAATTTATTATTATTATTTATTGATTATTTATTGATTATTTATTTGTTAATTATTTATTAAAGTTTATAATTTTTTAATGTTTTCGTAGCTGCTTCATTTTTTCACTGTTGTACTTTATATTCATTACGTTATTTATTATTTTTTTTAAATTTTTTTGTAGCTAATTCATCGTTGTACAAAATTTATAGCCATTGTTTAATATTTTTCCCTCACCCTCTTAATATTCATGTAGAGAAAAATTAATATTTTGTCGTTATACATTTTTTTTCACCGAATATTATTACTTTTTTTTTCTTTCTATAAAAAAAATGTGATTTAATTAATATTGTCGAATACACACGTGCAAAGGAATTTTTATATTAAAAAAAAAGGGAATCGGATTCCTGGCTTTCATATAAATACACAGGTTGACATGAATTCAATTTCATGTAATCTAGATCTACATGTTCCAAAATTGATATGAGTGCGGACGAAAAAAAAGTTTCTATTGTCACCGCGAGTAGAGTGCAAAAGCCAATTTTTTTCCAACAAATTTTAAATACCCTTTTATTTTACAACTTTTACAAATATTAAATTAATACAAAACAAAAATAACAAAAAAATAAAGATTTCGTATCTATAACAATAAAAATATATATGGAAAATAATAATAAAAATAAAAATATCAAAAATAATGGAAATAAAAAATTATTTTTAATAATTTTTGACAAAGTTCTTTGACAATTTTCAAATCCATTTGTTTACAAATCAATTTTAGGAAAATTTGGATTATTC